CTTATACGATTGCTAGCCTTAGTAACATCACTAGAGGAGGGTTTACCAAGTACCACAAAGCAATTACCATAACCCACAGACACAAAAAAATCTGAATTACAGAAGACCCCGGTACTCACCAGGTACAAAGAAGGCACAGCACACAACCATCTGTCAGCCTGTCGATAACTGCCATCGCCTTCGCTACCTGACAGTTACTGCAAATTGGGTGGTTACGAACGCATCGCAAGTTTCCCCCCATTTGGCTGTATTTTTCTCTTTCTTTTTCTTTTTAATGTTATTCGTCTGAGGAGTCTTAGGTGTACCCGCGCGTCTGATGTTGGCATTTACTGATCGCCTCCTCTGCAGGGGAGTTATTGATGTTTTTCTCCTAAACACGGGAGGTTTGTATTAAACATGGCGGTTTACTGACCACGTTAAGTTAGGCCAAATGACTTTAAAATTGTTATGGCCTTTTTATTCGCTTTGAGGTGCCACTGTTCTTATTTGCATTCTGTGGGTGAAATATTACCTTCGCTCATTCACACATTTTCTCATCCAAGTACTCACTGGCATGATTCTAGAATATGTGTGTGTGTGTGTGTGTGTGTGTGTGTGTGTGTGTGTGTGTGTGTGTGTGTGTGTGTGTGTGTGTGTGTGTGTGTGTGTGTGTGTGTGTGTTTTAGTAATACATGATATAAACATATTTGCTTCTTGATTGAGTATGTTATCATTTTTTTTTCTTTAATATCAACATAATCTGATTAGAATAATTAAACAATCAAACACAAAGCTCTAATGAATGGATATTGACAATCGTTCATTTAGGCGAGTGTTTGGTTGCACCCCCCCCCCCTCTATGTCTGCGTAAGTACACGGATATTTATGAGAATGGTTTCTTAAGACCTACGCAAGCCTGGCATTTCCCGGGCTGATAAGTTGCTCTGGCGGACTTGAACGGTTCTTTTAAGTTCTGTTTTAGTCAAGTTAAGACATGCTTTTGCATGTCTTAAATATAGAAGATCAACATTTCTTATGACAAAAAAGTTAAGAGACATTTGTATATTTATTTTTTATTTTTACGTTCTTTTTTAATGTAAGCATTGGGAACTTCAGTGAAATCCTGAGTTACTGTATATTACCATATATATGTATATGTCTATATAGATTTAATTCTTATAACCAGTCTGCAAAAAACTTTGATTAAACTCTTACAAAAATATTATTTTCTTATGAATAACGAACATATACTAGTTCATTGCGGAAGAAACGGGAACACGCTAACGTATAAAACGGCAGGAAAAGAAACAGCAAGACCAACCAGAGGCCAACGACCGACCCGTTACGTTCTGTTGGCCAGCAGCTATTGCGCTCATCTCAGTTTGCGTAATAACTACCCAATGAACTGAATGACTTTGCGCACGTGGTAAGGTGTCTAGAGAATATATACAAATGTTGTTTAATTTATTCAACATGATTTTCCAAGGATTATTCTCGGTATAATTGTTTTTTAAGATATATCGCCTTTGATGAAATGACTGAGCATAATTCACGGCACTGCTGCGATATTTTAGCGCGAGCAGACGATAACCTCCTCTCGGTTTCGCGCCAAATCTTTCCCGCCAACGTGACGTCACTCGTCCTAGCCAATGACCTTCGTTCCCGCCAGAAATCCCTCCCGAGCGTCGGTCCGCTTGTGGCGGCAGCGCGCTTAGTAGTGTTTATTGTTACTGTATCTACGCTACAGGTTAACTTAATGATTTATTTACCATTTATAAAAGTAAATATAAAATAGCCCAGCATATTAAGACAAGCAATGTTAATGTTATACACAGGAGATCGACTATCTAAAATTA